CCCCCCCCAAACATCCAATAAATAATCCGTCATTTGAGTTGCAGCTAATTTTTCTTATTCTAAATAGTTGGAAAGTTAACAGAAAATTTTATTCCACTATTCCAATGGTACTTCATCATTTTTCCATGTAGAGCAGCTTTGAACCATTAAAAATAGTCAGCCTTACCCGTGCCTTGATTTGGATCAACATGATCTGCATCCGCAATAATTGGTAGAACCCGATTCTTAACAAACGGATGCACCACCTGCTTTCCAATGAGATGGGCATACCTTGAATCGTCAGGATGAACTGCCAAGGCGGTGTCACCAAGCATCGTTTCCAGACGAGTAGTGGCAACTGGAACTGCTTCGTCTCTGTTCAATAGGAAATAATTAAGTCACTAAAAAGTTTTCACGCAAGTCTGTGCCTAGGTGAAGAAGGCTAATAGCCTTCGGGTAGCGATAATTTATAACCTAAATTCAATTTTGAAAAACCAAGACGTGTAGATATTATATCAGAAGACGGTAAAGTAAATTCTGCCTCACGGGGTGAGTTAAAAAACCACTGAATGTAAGTTTTTAAGAGAAAAAATGAAGCTGAAAAATAATCGAATGACCGAAGATAGTAAAAGTATCAACTTACTCATTAAGTAGTTTATAATTGAAGACGTCTACGTAACCGAATTCCTGTTTGGTGGCGTACCCAGGAACAGAGAGTTTGGTGAATTCTGTAATTTCCTTTCGATCAACCTAAGAAGTAAGAAACGATTGCTTATGGAGATAAGGCAAATGTGATAGAAAGAACAGAGCATGTTGAACACAAGTTGACCTAGCCGTTGAAGATCATTAAAGAAAGAAATGGACGTAAAAGGGAATTTGTCATCATAAGTATTAGAAATAACAATAATCGTTTCAAGTAGCTTAATGAAATAAATGTGATGAAAGAATCTCTCATTCTTTGTGCCCTGCACGAGAGGAGGTTTATCGCAGGACAAAATTGTACCAATGACTATGGCACCCGCAGCATCAACTGTAAACTAACGATAATCTCAGAGCCAACTAATGGCCCCACGCATCTCAGTTCAAAAGATTCAAGTGTGGAACTGAGTCATTGGGAAATTCGTTTATTGCTGCCAAAACAATAATGAAAATTAGGTTGATATTTGTCACCGAATTTCAAGGACATATTTATTCAATTAGAATCGAAGAACGAAAACTAATACAAAGCAGCCAAACAAGACAATAATGATTCCTTAAGTGCCTTCACATTATTTCGCGTTACACATCATCAATCGGGAATTTAAAGCGTGAATAGCAACAACAACAACAACAACAATAACGAGAGATGATAATTGTTTGGAATATAAATATGTAAGAGTAAAGAAATCAAGCACATTAAGCTTGCCCACCTTTCATACTTGAATATTCAAACGACTGCGTGTGTATTGGGGGTGGGGGAGGGTTCAATATTGAAAACAGCAGATTTTATAATAAACAACAACAACAAGAGCCTCACCTCAATATCAGAGATAGCAGATTGAAGGTGACAGCACCAGGAGATTAGACTGTTGGCACGGTAGAGCAATCCCGCATCACTCAATCGAAATAAAGCCTCATTCACGGCTTTACTATGTTCCTTAAAAGAATTAGGGGATTGAAGGAGAGAACGGATGTCCTTACGGGACTGAATGTGAAGTACTCTGAATGCCAATCGAGCAGAAGTCCCAGACGATTCAGCTGATCCAATATCGAATTCGACTTTCTACAACAACAAATAACTTCAAAGAGACCACTAGAGTAAATTAAAGTAAGCAGTGATGCAATTAGTATAATGTTAGACATATAATTTCAAGTTGCATTGTATAGAAAAAAATGTTTCCCACGAAGTAACTTGAAAGCAAAGTACTCAAAATTTTTACATGAATCTTAAATTATAGACTAAATTTCCAAAAACCGTAAGAGAAACACAAACAAAACACGATTGACAGCCATTGAAAGTACTTGTCAGTTCAAAACCAAGTCTTGAGGTACTTACACACATTACTTACACTGGACAAATTAGGCATGATGCACTTACGATTCCTTCCACTTCCAAATTTCTTTGATAAAGGCCTCTCGACCAAGATCGTGACGTGGATTGACTGAGCCTGATCTGCCCTTTCCACCCCTTGCCAGATGACGTTCCACCACCAACTCAGTGGCTAAGCCGGCGTGATCCAGACCGGGTATCCAGGACACATCTTTTCCTCGCATGAATTGCCTAAAATTTAGGAATCTTAAATGAAAACTGACCAGAGTTTCAGTATATTAGTAGTTGACATCATGAGACAAAATAATCAAACTAAGCCTGGCCCTAGGGGCTTTAAACTTAAAAAATGCTTGACAGGTAGGGGTGATTGTAGAGTAAATAGAAGTGGAACTTGAAGAGATTATGTTATGAAAATGACAGACGTGGTCCGTAAATTATTTGCGTATTTGGGAGCTTTCAGAGGTCTTACACTCAGTGCGTTTTGGAAAGCGATGTCTGGTAGATAAACCTAATTTCCGGGAAGGCGATGTCTACATACTTCTAGCGGAATCGACATGGCACATTCTCCATATTCTCTGACTACTTCCAACTGTATGTATAGACGATTGTGGAACATCAACAGTGTGGCAGCATATCCATTATTCGTTAGCGAACCCAGAATGACAAGGCTAGAGAGTTATTTGGAAAAAACTCGACAAGACCAAAAAGATTGAGAACTATTAAAGTAATAATCTGAGAATTCAAGGTTAGAGTAAAGAGTGTCGAAATATAGAGACAATAAGGAGACTTTTAACACCAACCAACTTCGAAAATCTGGTCTGTTCCAGACATAATAAAGAGGTATCGTTAAGAGGAGGCATAAATTAATGCCATACCTAGGGTAGATTATAATACCATTAAGCAAAGTACCATACTAAAGAGATCTACCATATGATCTCTAACATGCTGAGAAATTTAAAATCATGGCCACTTTGTGCAGTCAAAATAGTTTCCAGGAGTTGCCACTGCAAAAAGGTGAGTGCACTGATATTGAAACCTACTTTCACCATATGAATAAGAGATAAGAACAGAGATTTGAGTCAGACTTATTCCAACAAAAAATAGAAAACTAATAAACCTGCCATCGACAAATCGCATCTTGAATGGAGACAGTGAGAGCATGTCCAAGATGGAGATCTCCCGTTATATTCGGAGGTGGCAAAATCATGCTGAATTTCTCTCGCTAAAAAAGAAGGAACAATAAGCAATCTTATCACTAGACTCACAGTTTCCCATTTGTTAGCTTTTCTCTCCTTTAACGTTGCTTCCCAAAGAGGTGCGCATATCGTTGGGTCTTCGACAACAGCTGGCTGGTAAGTCTTTTGAGTTTCTAAATTGGCAGAAATTAGACATTTTTAGTGGAAGCTTACCTAACAAACGCAAACCCGGGGCAGATTTTGAATATGCCAATCGTTGGCGAAAGAGAATCGAACTTGAGCCAATCGCCTCGAGAGAATAGAGCATTAGATCGGTATATTGTCTAGAAAAATAAATAGTTTGATAGACGCATTCAATTTCAAACCCTATTAAACTAGTATAAAATTAGCGCTGATCTTGTTACCACAACCATCCATATTTACCTAATTAATTCGACCAGCAAGATAAACATAATCTATCTGGCATTTTCAGCGCATCTACCACCGATTTAAAGCAAAGAACATTTATGCTATTTGCAATTGGGAACTTGACAAAGCACCGCTACATTAAGTCATAAGATGGAAATCGATAGCAAATTTTGAAATTAACTTATGTTAGCTAAATTCAAACGTAAAAAAATCCATCGAAACTCTACATAACTAAACAGCAAACCGTCAAAATAAAGACAACAAGATGATATGACTATTTTACAAGATACTTTATTAATAATTCAGAAAATAGAATTGTAATGTGGAGAGCTATCATTTAGATAGGGGCGGCGTCCTTTTCGATTTTTTATACTCCTCTCGAGCAGCATTCAGTAGGACATTGATGAAATATTTGTGTTTAAACGGTTCCGAAGACACTGCGTTTGAGCCTTTAATCCGCTTGGGTAGATGTGGACTGCCAATCGGCGGCCAAGGATTACCGTGTAGTTCTAGTACACCGAAACCATGTGAGATGAAAGCATGCTGATTTGGATATGGTGGTCGCTGTAGGCGAAATACACGAGTGTAGGAACGATTGTAAAATCGATAACGTGGAACTAGAACCTAGGAAAGAAGAGAAGAATAGGATTTTAGAGGCCAAGATACGAAACGATCTATAAATCATAGGTGGCTATCAACCGAAGAAAAAGGCAGATTAGGGTGCATCCTGGTCAACGTATACTTAAACGAAAAAAGTCTGCAAACCGGCAGTTGACTTCTGACCTCAAGCTCTATGTCATATTCGACCACTTTCACAGTACTCACCTCACCTTTCATCTACCTTTGTGTCTGTCTCTTTTACATCTTTAAAACACTCTTCTGTCCCCCCCCCCTCTCGACTTTTTTTCGATTTGATGTTCCTCTTCCTCTGTGAAGCCTGAAGTCAACTAAAGGGCTAATGATAACTATCATAAAGTCTGCCATTTGATATAAATATACTTCAAGCTACCGTGACTCCATTGGATGCCATATTCGACCACTTCCGCAGAACTCATTTTACCTTTACCTCTACCTTTCTATCTCTTACTTTAACATCTATGCATAACTTTTCTGTTCCCTCTTAACTTTTTGTGACTTTGAAGTTCCTCCCCTCTACGAAGCCTGAAGTCAACTAAAGGGGTAATGATAACTATCATAATGACTGCCATTTTGTGTCGAATACTTTGACAAGCAAGATTGCACACTCAAGGTATATATTAAAAGAGAAAAGAGATCGGAGGCATCATGAAGCCAGCATATTAAATAAGTTGTGACCGCTTGGCAATATACTCAACCATTAATCAACCCGATCGACCGATATAGGCTGACTTTCCACTTTGCTCCGAGAAGGAACCTAACATCAAGGGGTTCCGCCAAGCTGGAAATGCTACTCGGCAAACTTAAATATGCACTACATTATTCATTTGTTTCTAAATCTTACTTTATTCGGAAAGTAAAATTAACACTTTCACAAGTTTTACAAAAACTGTAGTAAAGTATTTATAAGTATCACACATTTTTATGAATAGCTATAATTGTGAAGCATTTTCCGTTGTATTAATATGAGTAAAGGCTTCTATGCCAATATACTGGCATATATATACATACATATATATTGGCGTTGCACCGGCACCAGATACACAGCAATCCAACTTGCGTCGTCGAAATAAAAAATATCGTTTTTTGTCTTGACCCAAGTTGTTTCTATTCGCGATCTTATTGTGCGATTTGCATCGAAAAAAGCTAAAAGCGATTCTGCAATCCCTATGATGATAAGTTATTACTTATTACTCACTTAGAAATTAACGAAATTGATAAGTAAGGTACATTTAGGTTACCTTAAGCAACTTGGTAACGAGTTCCGGTTTTTGCAACCAAAAGGCTGAAAGTTCAAGCAGTGGGGCAATTTCAGGATACTCAATCCACGGAGGTTGAAGCAGTTCTTCTAGACTTTGAAATTTCGATAGATCCGTGGTAGCAAGTTCCGCTCGCACTGCCTCTTGAATGAGCCTTTCAGCATACTGCCGTGTCTCTAAAGCGACGGGCCAGGGTAACTCAATGCGTTCCTCATCAACGAGAGCTGAGACACAACGCCGTAGCCATGACATTCGACCTGTCGGACCCCCACCTATACCCTCACCACGACGCAGACGCTGAGATAAACGAGGAACATGCATTAACAACTGATTGGCTGCCAAACCGATTGAAGGGCTAAATGAAGGAACGTAAAGGAAGCTTTTACCGAATCAGTAGTTATAAAAACATAAGTAGACACAAATAAATCATTGATTTCGTCTATTAATGGGTACCAAATTCGACAATCACTCCAGAAGCCATTGCATAAAGATTGGACAGGAGTAAATACTTAAATAGCAATAGGAGTACACCTTGAGATGACATTTTGACTATCTATGAATAACTACAAACGTAAAGGATCTTACTTGTTCCTCCATAATTATCTAGTCAACATGGCTTATAGAGGGTTATAACGCTAATAAGACGTAGAAATTACATACGCCAGATAATAAAATGAAACTGCAAAATCGAGACAACTACATTTTAGTCACTGACGAAAGCAATTCCCGGTCTAATCATTAGCAGGGGGGTCACAGGTTCGATACTTATTTTTTCACACCCAGTGAAAGAAATGGCAAATGATTAGGAAAGGGGGGAATAAATTCAAATCTCTTATCCAAGATTCCATGATGATACGTCACTGTCCGATATTTGTGTTGGCGAACCCTTTCATAAATGAGCTCCCATTCAAGTAAGATTTCAGGAGTCTAAATATTACCTGTCACCATGCGGACTAGACTGCTTCTGACACAGGAGACTTGAGAAAGAAAGACAGCGAACTCCCGATCGACATATCAAGCCCGTCGACAACCAAGAATGATGGCGTAAACCTCTGAGGGATAAGGGTGTGGCAATCTACAACAATCACAAGCCTCAAAAATAATCGAATTACAATCCAGTGCACATAATGACACTTTAAAACTTTCATTTAAAACCAAACACAAAAATACGCAGGATCTCAAATGAGTAATGATTGTATTAATCAACAACAAAAAGGACAAGATGAAATTAATAATCACAAAAGGCACAGCTGAGGATCCACGAGGGTAAACCCGCCAAGCAGAAAAGTGCTCGGGGGTTTCACAAATCGTAAACCTATGCGCCGCACAAAGGTCACTGTCTGCTCATTGGTGAGAGGATACAGTTCAGATCCAATATCGACCAAGAGACCAGTCCATAGTGAACCTCTGGGAATCCTTATATTGGTCACTAGAATGGGAAAACAATAAGATTGAACGATAATCGTATGAAACTACAAAGCCATTCAGGCAATTATGACAACACGATGATACGATTGCGAAAAGAAACTGTTCGTAAAATACATTACTTTAAATAGCATTTAAAATTCTATTCACGCAATTTAGAAGGAATAATGAAGAGCGCACTAAAGGAAATCTAAATCTTTAAAATCGCCTCAGGAATGATAAGCTTATTGATAATTATACGATAATTTAACTTTGGACCATCATCTTTACTAACGAATTGGTGCTTAAATAAACAATCAAATTGATTTCAATAGCCTTTTAATGTTTCTTAGGTCAACTTAATGTATCAAAAGGAAATTTAGGGAATAATATTTTTTTCAGACTCTTCATCTGTGCTGTACCTTTGGAAGAAATCTTCCAGCCCCAGTTTAATGAAGTGTCAGAATGTGATGACAAAAAAAGAATTTCGAAAGAACCTAAACAGACTACTCAGAAACATTGCGATGAGGTGACATACAACCGCAAATGAAATAACACAACCTAATCGAAATTGTTCATTGAAAACGTGCATGCATGCATAAATCTGTGCCATCGAAGAAAATCAATATTCTCTCCATTTAATCGAATGGCACTAGAAGTCACTATGTGAAGAGCACGTTGACGAAAGAATGGGCTTCAAATAGTGACGGAAATCGTAAAAATCAAGTCGAAGAAGAAAATGTATGTGTAGAAGGGTATTTTATAAGATATCGTCTGATCAAATTCTTTTCTAAACAAACACCAAAAAATAGAATTTCGTTGTTATTGTAGATGTTTTCTACAACAAAAAATTACCTAATTCTGGAGATTAAAAAAGTCAACTAGTACAATGGTTGTCATTGACCAAAGCGAAGCCAAATCTTGAAAATTTCAGTCGCAATGAACAGTAAAATAGTCGGATAAGGGTTAAGGGTAGAAGGGGAATGTTGAAGCTACTTCGAAACAGATCTTCCCATGAAAAGTTACAAGTCGAATGCTTACCGACAGGGAGCTAAATCTTACGGCCTCAACCTAACGCAGCACTAAAACCGCCTTAGCTTGACTTAAGATAACGGGCAACTATTTGATCATTTCGTGAGAGACATAAAAGGTCAATATCGGTGTGCGCCTTTTGAAAGCAGTTTATTCTACGCAACTCTTTCACTAAAAGCACTCCATTTTGGATATAGTCGTGTTGTACTAACTGGGATCAAACTCACAGACCCAGCCTAATGCCACGACAGAAAAAAGAGACATTGTGCAATCATGAATAACAGTGCTTAACTCTGTAGCACCTCCCATGGCAAATCAAATGGGACAACTTTTAATGAACAGGAAAAGGAACAGCGCCCTCTAATAATTGGAGGGCGGAGGGGAATATTGAAGGGTGCCTTCTGAAGGAAGCATCCTGCTGAAAAAGTCCTTCTTTAAAAAGAGGTACCTTCAAAATTCAATTTAGTCGTGTGTACTGACCAGGAACCAACACTTGCGGTTCCGGCCTAATGCCACGACCGAGCCAGTGTGAAGCTTGAAAATAGGTCTTGAGAAAATCAATTGGCATCTTTGAGATGAAATCTTTCAACAAAATAGTACTCATTAAATACACAACCCAGTTTACACTTGGCAGTTTAGCACAAGAAGGAAACTATTTCACTGTTTCGCAAAGACAACAAGGTAGAGAATATCTAAAATGCATATTTTGAAATAAGTACAGGAGTACCCCACTTTGAATTTAGTAGCGTTATATTGACCAAAAACCAACTCACAAGCCCAGCCAAATGACACGGCCGAAAGAGACATTATACAAATTAAAGCAACCAACTCTATTTCAGCTTCCATAGTAAAGCAAAAGAAACTACAACTTGTCACTATGAGGAACAAGGTACAACGAAGTGGGCAAATATGAGGATATAGGTTGGGGGAGGGGTTCTTGAAATGCGGCATCTTAAGGAAGCCTCATCTAAAGCAACCCTTACAACCCTGATCCACTGAAATAGTTTGATAAAAACTACACAGGATTTAATAAATAAATAAACCACACGATCTCTAAATTAAGTGGATTCTAATAAAAAAGGAGGAATTCAAACACTCCAGGAAGAAAACGTAATAATGATGCTTGCAAGTTCGCTAGGACTATGTATGATTAAGCAGGACACAAAAATGTCTTGAAGAAGGAAAAGTGAGTAGAATTTGTGAAGCCAGAATTAATGAAAATTGTTGCATAACTTGTATATATATATATACGGTTGGCAAGTTAATTTGAGGTATTAATAGTAATGCAATCCACGTATGCTATTCCCTCAAAAGCAAACATGAATCTACAAGCCAGCCTCTAATGAATTTAGCTGATTTCCAAATCCAGCGAATTCTCCTAGATCTTGCCGGACGCTCGGATCAGCGAAATGGTTAGAACACAGAAAAAACCAAATTAAAACTTTACAGAGAAATCCAATATAAGTTCCATATAATTATCAAATATAACCACAACCAACATACAGCCATAATCAATTTTAAAATCGGGTATATGTTAATGACGAGAATGCTGGAAAAAAATAGACACACCTGGACAAAGTAATAAAAAAGAAACAAATTCCTAATGATAACTATCATCCACAGCCTCCAACAAATTAAAAAAAGATGAGTTAAATACTTTTCCAAATGTTAACTAAGCCTCCATGACTATGGAATGCTTAAAAGAACATTTCCTTACCACTATGTTTGAGAATCCGTTCACCAGTAACTGGGTATTCTCTAGCTGTATTCACGGACTCCCAAGGAATTGTACTGACGTGTGCAAATACGCAGACATCAGCGGCATTTCCTGCAAAATGTATAATCATCGAGAGAGTGGCATTTTTGGAGAGGGACAAATTTGGAAAAAGGAAGAGTTCTAGATTGAAGTTCTCCAAGAGCTGATCAGAATTGGGAGAAATATCTATACTCAAACTATTTCCCGATGTAAAACAATCCATAAAATTTGGCCTGATCTAAATAAAAAAAAACAATTGGTAAAACGACTTAAAAAGAAATAAAACACAAGGAGACAGCGTCCCATGTTCATTAAGTGAAGTAATTTCCGACATTTAACTTGATTAGAGAGGAAACCTCGGATCTACTATTCTGCAAAGTTCACACCGTAAGCCCTTTTCAACTCGATTACCAAAAACTAGTTGATATTCCAATGACAATGGATACACACCACTATGAATTAAACATACATGATTGGCATATTGCAATGAGATTTTCAATCAAATCGGACAGATAGCCATTTGCTCTCGAATTCGGGAAATTTCAATGGAAATAACAGATACACACGCACACAATCACCATCATAAGCAAAGACAATGAGAAATCGTGACTTTCAAAGTAAAGTTGAAGTGCTACTTATTTTTAAAGTACTAAATGCAAAAAGATAACGAAATGTAATTTGCCCCATCCATCGCACGACTTTTAATATTGCTCATGTAGTTATTCCACGACTGAAAAAACCTACAGTTAATTTCAACTAAAGCCCTAAATCAAGTGGTTTTTAACTTCAGAAGCATGTCAATACGACTTTCTCTTCGTGTGTTCCATTCAACTGAAAAGGTGATAATCTGATGGATAAAAAACTACGCAGTAATCTCCCTATCAGCGTACAATTTGTAAATATGAAATAGCAAAATCCATAAGTTTCCGAAACAAGTATGAACAAACCCTAATAGAACAGTCTTCGGGAGATAAATAAGCGAAGTCATTTGAAAGCCCACGACAAGTCGGAAATATCTATAAAAACAAGAAATTAGTAAAAGCAAAATAAGAACCAATGGGAGGGAGATTGAAACTAAAACTAACCTGCTGTTCAGCAAGACGACTCCATGGTGAAAAGACATTCCTCTTGAGCAAACCCAAACCCAGAGAAAAGTTCGTATGAAATCTGCCATTCCAAGGAGAAAGCGGTCGGTAAAGAGCTAAACAAGACGAATTTCCAATAGCCCGAATTTGAGGAATTAATTCACTAATTTGCCTCCAGAATTTATAGTCAAGATCCGCGAGACTAGCAGCTTCAGACAGTAAATCACCACTCACGACATTCTCATCTAAATCCAGCCGCTTTTCAAAAGGCCAAGCAGGGGCGAAAAGGGCAACTGATAAAGGACGGTCGGGTCTAGCTTTCTATGCATTTTTTTATCAAATATTAGGAGAAAATCCTACCGAAGCACTAAGAATAAGCTCAAGAGCTTTGTAGGTGCCAAAACCACCTCCACCTGGGCAATTCCGGCCAAAACAATCAACTCCGACAAATATTTTCATTGATTCGTCCGAGCTTCGAGCTCTGAAAAAAAGAACTTAGAGCCAACAGACAAGACAATGCAATATTCTTGTCACTAGAAAGGGACTCGCTGATTTTGGGTAAATTCAAGAAGCTCGGGATCCCAATTGTAATTGAGGAAGATTCCGTCCAAATCAGCGTGAAAGAAAGCAGAGTTTTCTGTGGTGAGAGAATTTTGCCAATTGAGATGACCATTGTGGGTGACAGCATCATACCAAATTACCTCCGAACCCAAACTCTTGAGACATTTCAAAAAATGTAGAACCCTTTGAAAGATTCGTCTGTCAGAAGTCTATAAAAAGTTTTAGCAGAAGTCAAACGAACACTTACATCGAAGAACCGATTTTCAAAATTTATCAGCCAACCTTCAAACCGGTAGTGCAGCCGAATATCATTCAGCTTTCGAGCAAATTGAGTAGGATATCCCACACCAACTTCTTTCGTGGTAGTGCCAAAAATTTGATCGAATTGTGGACAGGGATTTACTCGATCGCATTCGATAATCACGGTTCCATAAACCCTAACACCGTTTCTGCGACTAATTTAACAAGAAATGCAAGCATACGTACTTGTGAGCAATATCTATCCAGGAAACAGGAGGGATCGTAACGAAATGGTGACTGAAATAGATGAATGTATCAATCAAATCCCAGTGGACAAAACGGTAAGTGGGGAAAGTTGGGACACTTTTATCTGTAGTATCATAATCATGATAGCCACCAGCCATATCATGACAAAACACAATAGTTGGTGTCCTTTTGGGTTTTATTAAGGTTCCAGATTCTGTACAAATGCAAATAATAAGCAAATTCGATTAGGGACCTTCTACGACTCCATCACTAAGCACCAGTTCACTTGGCTGAACACGAGCCCGTTTCGGCTTCCAAATTAATAGTTCGGAAAAAGATTTAATGGGAGAGCAGATCATATCAAAAAATAAAACAATATGTTCATGACAATTAAGACCCTTTAAGACTACGTGGGTGAAGCAAGGACGCAGTCAATTAGCACACTGATTTTCGATTCTAATGACCGTAATTCTATGTTCAGGAAAATGCATGTTTTGATTACAAACATAATGCTTTTTATAACGAGTGCCCATTATTTTAGCTAAGTAGGTTTGACTTTTTAAGTTAAATAAAAAGGTCATATTTTTGTGCAAAAGAATGCTTTTAAACATCAAACCTTCTTCACAAGGTTAGCTAAGTACAAATATTTTTATTTATTGCTTATTTCTTATCATATTTACCGGTCTGTGGGCATTTTCCCCATGATGCCTTGAATCCAAGTCACTACAAAGGCATTTTATAAATATTTCAGTGGATACATAATTTCGAGTTTAGTAAATCCTTATTAACTAACTCGATTAAGACTCTAAGCAATAATGTTTTGCAATTTATGTGAGCAATATTAAATCTGTATAGATAAACTTAAATTTAAAGTAAAAACTCCGAAATGTTGGCAAAATTTTCATAAAAAAGGTCAGCTACAATTGCCATGAGCTTATGTTCTGTTGCATTTTGATAAAATAGTCGAAGAAACAGAAGAAAAATTAGCGTATATAATCTAAAATTTATCATGGAATGCTGTTGCGATGGTTTTTAAAGAATCTTACAAAACATTTTGTGACGTGGCGAATTCCTGTTCATTACATAGAAACGTTTAATTGCAATCCAATAGTTAACAGAATTTATCCTGTAAGTACGTTTACAAAGACAAAAGCCTTTTTCATTTTCGATATTTTCATTGCGCTCACTTTTAGTTTCACAAACCTGGGGGATGAAATAGACTTACCTTCACATGGTTTATCCTGGGCAACGTATGCTAATACGGCAAAAAAGTCTATTACCTGGCAGTTGACTTCGCTCTTCAACTACCATCACCCCACTCTATGTCATATTTCACTACCTCCACAGTAATCACCTCACCCTTTTCCACCTTTGTATCTGTTTCTTTTACATCTTTGAAACACTCTTCTCTTCCCTCCCCCCTTCGACTTTTTCACTTTGATTTTCCTTCAACTTTGTGAAGCCTGAAGTCAACTAAAGGGCTAATGATAACTATCATAATGCCTGCCATTTGATGTAAATAAGTTTAATCAAACTCTTTGTTTGACAAGGATTGTAGAAAAAACATAATATTTCGATAACTTAATTTAAATCGGTTATATTCATAAACCAGAGCCGGTAGCTTCACTTCCTTTTTACTATTCAAAAATTCTTATCTTCAAACCAGTTTGTAATATTCCCATTGACGATTCGACTCCAGTCATCGCTTGAGGTCTTCTCATGCTTCAAATTGAGGTGTCACTGCCAGCATTTCTAAGTTCGGAAACTATCTACAACTCACAATACTAAGTCAAATAATAACTGTTTAAAACTGAATTCCGAGTTTCTACTCCCAAATATTTCTGGCTATTACCCATCTTATAAATATTTATTGCTCGTGTTCTAGGATATTTCATTGAATATTCTCTTAGTATTTTTCGTCTTTTAAAATCTTATTTTTTTCCACCTTAAATTTTATATCAGATTTACAATGAGAAGTTAAATGGGGGCTTTGAAAACATTTTAAACGTTTGAATCACCTGTTTATTCTTACAACATAATGTAAACCTTGTCCAAAATTAGCTCTGTTTCTAATTAACTTTTCAAATTAAGGTACTGCATAATGCCAAAAATAATAGAATTCGGAATTCTAGATTGTTGACTTGTATTAAGCGTACAATTTTTGATATCATAATTTGAATGTATAATTATAATGGAATTTAAATTTGCACCAAGATTTTATATATTTACTGTAAAGGTTTTTGGAGCCACATAAATATAAATGTGGTTATTATTTTAACAAAAATCATTCTTCATTTAACTCGATTAAGGTCATATAATTTAAGCGCGGCTTTGTTAATACACGCGATAATGTATGATCTTATTAATTCTTCAAATTTTATGAAATTGTCTACAAAATACAATGATATTATGAGAGCGGAAGCGTATAACGGTCCAAATAATTCACTTGATAGCTTAAAGGACTTATTTATTGAACAATTGGATAGTATTTCAAAAGTTGGCAAGTTATTTTTTTAATACTTTTATATGATAGATTTGGCAGGCTTTAATATCACAGCATTTCCTTCTATCATCAATGTTTTATTTAATCTTGCGAATCTTAACATATCGAACAATAATTTGCGAACACTACCCGACCACAAGATATCCTGGAGACGTATAACTTATATCGACTTTAGGTAACTTATATAATTTAGAAATTTTCAGCCAAAACAAATTATCCGCTATGCCAAAATCATTTTTGCACCTTACAACTCTGCGATATTTATCTATAGCTAGCAATAAATTAAGGACAATACCTTCCGATTGGAGCCTTTTGAAGAATTTGGAGGAATTAGTAGGTTTTTTCTTTTTTACAAATAAGGTAACTAGGATCTGTCCCTGAATGAAATTGACGATATTTCTTCATTGATATGCATAAGAACATTAAAGATTTTGAAAGTAGATAACAACCTGATTTCAGTAATTCCACAAGGTACGTTGAATTTTTTATTTTATAGAACACATCTGTTCATAGCGTCATTATGTAAAAAATTTAAATCAACATTATTTACATTAATGATAGAAAATGAATAAAATCTATGCATTTCTTTATCGAGACTTTCACAAATTGGAAAATCTCATTAGTTTCAAATGCCAAGATAATCGAATTAGTCAATTGCCAAAGTCTCTTACGAAATTGGAATATCTCGAAAATTTAGAAGTTTCGAAGAATCCCTTGATATTTCCTCCTTACAATGTAAGTTATAAAACTCTTACCATTATATACTTATATCATAACTTTACCCCGGGCATAATTTATTTTGATTGATTCATTTTATTTTTCAACATTCTTCTTCTATTAAAGAGCCATCAAACTGTCAAGAATTTTAATACTAGCAGGTTAAAAGCCTTAATTGGTGTCATAGACACCAGATTTCCAAACTATCTTGTTAAATGGAAACCATATTAAGATCAGTATGATAGCCAATTAAAATAGACGATTTTATCAAATAATGAATGCCGCCAATCGATTTCAGAAGTTTTAAATTGCGGAACTCAATTTAAAAAAGAGATTCAATTTTTAATGATAAAGCTTGATAGATTCCTATTCTTTTCTTATTTCTGTCCTTGTGTTTATTTTTCTTGGGTCATTTTTAAGAAATAACTTAGAGTTACATAATCTAGTTGCAACAAATCTGTTTAAAAACTTCAATTTGCGTGTAAGTCTGATATGTAAATCATTATCAGGGTTTGGTTGATTTTCTAAAGTTTCGCCTCAAATTTGATCATTGAAATAAACTTAAATTCAGAGCTCTTCTTACCTAAGGATCTCCTTCAGTATGATAGCACAAAATTCGCTAGCTGACAATTCAAGAATACCTATTAGAATATGAGGCATTGTTTCAGGTATTTATTACTAGCAATCATGGTTATAACAAATCCAATTGGACAAATCAAGGCATAGCTTTCAAGTTTTTTACATTGAATGGAAGGTTACATTCGTGTGAACGCTTTCCACCTTTCGTAGAGCAGTTAGCTTATACAAAAATAAGGAAAATAATTATAAAACCAAGTTCTTCATTCCACGCCTATTATATTCGACAGGAAGACATTCACCGACACACCGACATTCTGATGTGGTGCTCGTTTTTGAACTCCTCTTTTGGAAAATAAAACTATTTGTGAAATTGCATGTGAATCGAAGGGCATATATTGAATGAGCTCACACTTAGCACCCAAGGGCAATAACTAGGGGAAAACCGATACACAGTTATGACATAATCTACATGTGGATTAAGAACTTGGTTGCCTCAAAATCGATACAAATTAGATCGAGGTTATTAATAACCCTTCAATTCCAAAAGAGAGCTCCCCAAATAAACGCGGCAAAGCGAATGGAAATCATAAAGTACTTTTGATTAAACTGATTTAACCATTATTTCCAAAAAGTTTCATCTAGGTTGATTGATCGATAGACTGATGATAGTCAACTCTTTGTTGGCGGTAAAACTAAGGTGAAATTTCTTCCGTAGATTGTATCTAGAGGTCTCGCACACATTTTGGCCTATCTTGATCGAAATGAACCGGAAGCAATACAAACTCCGCCTCCCTTGCCAAAGAGAACTCGCCAAACTCAATATCATTACTTCCAGGAACAGGAGTCTTTTTTGCCAAACAAAGATGATATGCTTCAACCCCCTTCTTCCACATCACATCAAGAAGAAGATGAGAACATCAAAAGTATAAAATTGAATGAAGATGATCCCTATGATACAGAAGATGTTTTCGAGGAAGACTACTCAACTCATGAATATGAGCAAATGACGGAATCAACCCCATGTCGAATGTCACGTTCTCACTCATCTTTTCATTTTTCGCAGACAGGGTCAAGGCCTAGCTCAGCAATGGCTACTATTTCCTCAAAGTTCTCCCGTGCTTCATCTAATCCTGAATGGTAAATTTATTTGGGTGTTCTTGTCAATGTCTTTGGTGAGTTACAAAGTAACAAAAGCACAATAATCTGTTTCGGGTCTTAATGACGGACGCCTCACGTAATTTGACTTCCAATAGCACAATGTTTAAATTTAAAAAATTCCAACGTTTTCCTGGAAAATCCTGAGTCTGATTAAGCAATTCATGTAATAAGGCATAGTACGTTAACATTTATTTTAATTTTTAGCGTATCTTCAAAGGTGAATGCTAACATCAGATGATATTTTTTATGGGAAATGAATTGTTTTAAATCTAACGGCACTGCGTGTTGACCTCATTTTCATTTTCCAGTTTTGAGTTTAGGAAAAAAACACAAAATAGCAAAAATTTAAAAATAAATACAAGAATCTGTAAGTAGATTTTCCTTGACCCTTATTGTTTAATGTAAAACTTTGCGTTGGTATAAACTTGACTGAATATTTCTAGATAATATTAATATTTTAATGTGGAAAAACATCTCTTGTTCTTAATTTTAATGGCTTAAAATCAATTTAAACCTGCTTTGCATTCATCGAAAAATGCGAATTTATACCCTTTAAATTACTTTTAAAAAAATCATTTAATTAATAAGCGAAAAGTAAAAAGGTTGCTGTAAATACTCCCAAACAGAATTGCCCAGAAAGTAGTTGATTATATTAATTGTCTGCGTTGCCCATTTGGCCACGTGATAAAGTAGCTCCAAGTGTTGCACACTGAGCAACGTATACTCATACGGCAGAAAAGTCTATTAATCGGCAGTTGACTTCTAGCTTCAAACTACCATGGCCTACTGCAAGTCATATTCGACTCTTTCACAGTACTCATCTTACCCTTTCTGAGCATTTGTGTCTGTCTGTCTGTCTCTATTAAATCTGTAAATCACTATTCTATTCCCCCTCTCGAATTTTTTACACTTTAATGCTCCTCCCCTCTGTGAAGCCCGAAGTCAGCTAAAGGGCTAATGATAACTATCATAAAGCCTGCCATTTGAAATAAATAAATAAATATTTATTGCCTGCGTTTCCCATTCGTCCACGTGATAAAACAGCTGTTTTTTCTCTACCCGAGGAGCGAATCGGACTTCTCAAATAGGCACCCATTCAGGAGGATGCATAGCCAGCCAGACTTCTACGAGCACGTTGCTATGACAACGGAAAGTAGTCACAGCTACTCACCTTCATTGACCTCCCTTTCAGACAACTATAATGCCAACCAGGCCAATGTAAATCTTGTACGGAGCCAATCCCATAGCTCCTGGCGTTTACAAAAGGACAGTCGCCAAAATAGCCTCCACTCCTCCTATCGAAACAACTTACACATGACAGAGGTAAGCAGATACTTACTCACTGTCACATTTGCTCCAATACCATAATCTGCCAATTCTTTTATTTCTAAGCCTTACAATTTTATTTTGTCTTTAGGGGATTTAGTGACGATTACAATTTCTACTTTCTTATTCATGTATTTATGCTTTGACGAGTGAAACAGTGGCTTCATGCCAAGAAACTACATCGTTATGAACACTTTGAGTTAGAATCACTTATAAAAATATGATCAGGAAACGGATTTATCGGTCCACGTTGGTCAGTGTTTTAACAGAAAGAATTGAAAAAGAATTACCCTTGCTTTTAATCAATAAGCACGTGGACAAGGCGTCATATCAAAAATTATAATGTGGCTGTATGTTTCGAGAAGCATGGTTTAATGGATAGCACTTACCGAGAGCAATAGGATTCTAAAAATTTTGATCAGTAAAAAATAAGCATGTCTTATGTATGTTTATTGTTAGTATTTATGCTTTTTGGTCGAAAAATTCAAGCATAATTGGTTAAGGTATGGCTTTGAAGGCTATTAGGAGAACGTTGCACAAAATATCGATTTGTGTAAAACAATATTCAGCCTTCCGTATTATCCCATCAACGCTTTTTTAATCGGCTCATATTTATATGATAGCAGTTAAAATGCCCTTGAAAAAAATGAATCTACTCTCAGCTTTAGAAATGAGAAATTGCTAATTAACCTTTAGAATCATTCAAAACTATCAAATACTTTCCTTTTGGTGATTTAGAGTAAAGTGGTAGACTACTGACTTTGCCCATTATTACCTATCAGGTAAGTTTGTGAAAGAATGAAGAAAGGAGATTGAGCAATTTGGGAACCGTTTGTGTTTCACTGATTGAACTTTCTCATGGAGTTTTTAATGCAGTTGGAATTTCAAAATTGAGTTAATATTACTAGTTCCTCAGTGCCGATTACTGTATTTGGACCTTCTCTCCCCCTTCATGCTTTAAATTTTGTCTTAACTATTGATTCGCCTATTTCCTTTAAAACTGTGGAAAATAATGACCACAGTTAATAGACACCTTTGGAGATTTCAAAGTTACCTCAATTCGCCCACTTAATTTACAATTAAGGTTCATTAAACCAGCACTCTCGAAACACGTTAATGGTTTGCCAACCCAATATAAAGATTTTAAGTAATATGAGATTCTTGATATTCTCTTCCCAATAGGACCGCCATTTGAGTCCCTATCTCTTTTGCATAAGATATTGAACCCTTTTTACTTAAAACATGCCAAAACGAAGTAATAAATATCCCCAATATAGAAATGCTGCTAAGAAAAGGAAGTATATTATAAAACTTATAAGTTGAGTTTTTTAACGAATACCAACCCACGGCCATGGGTTACAAAGCTATTACTGGCTAAATATTTATGTTTTAAATGGTCATAATTTTCCTGTTAGACAATGATCCACGGTTCAGGTAATCTAAAAGTGGTATATTTAGCCAATAATAAATTCATAAATTAATAATGAGGAGTTTACTAGTAAAAATAAGGTTCTTACCTGCTGTTTCTATTAAGATTTTCTAGAAAATTACGGAAATCAATTGGAATAAAAGTTTAGAAGTTACCTGTCGTCTTTTCAAAGTTCTAGGTTAATTAATTTAGCGCATAGCTTTTCAAAATACTCTTGTGAATTTGACTGAAAGTCGATATTTAGCCATGATCCAGTTAGAAAGGGGGGGGGGGAGGACAAAATCGACTGCTACTGGCAGACCAAAGTCAACCACCCCGACCCTCCCCTACCCCCCATACCTGTGAAAACATCCGTCCAAATTGGTTAAGAAAATGCAGTCACTTAATTTTTAACTTGTTTTGCAATCACTACGACTGGATTTTGTGTTTTCGGTCCAGTTTCTTGAACATTGGTATAATAAAAAGCACACATTTGTTAGTTGAGTCACTACTGGGCGCGGTCCAACGTTACTGCACGCTGAATGCGACCAATGAAATGGGTGTGTTTAAACCGTTGCCATCCAATACTAACAGACAGAATCGAAAGCAGCCTTGAGAATTTTTATTATCTCATATATATATATATATATATATATATATATAATTGTTTAAACACACTTGACACCTGATCGGGTCGAGGATGTTTAATCCGCATTGTCTCAGTTAGATTTAGCATGTAATTAGGCACTGAGAATTGGGGTAAAAAAGCGCACATTTGGTCACAGTTTGGAAAACACAGATGACTAATCTATATCCTTACCTGATTGCTTTCTATTCTCCATGCCTCACCTATTCACAATAAAAACCTTGTAGGAATAAATTACCTAAAAATAATAAGGACATTATTAGTGAGAACTATATGGAGGCGATATTTTCCTAATTACTTCAATTGAGAAAGCTAGGCAGGCAAATATGTGATATAACCGAGAATAAATGACCTTTGATCAAGCGATTGGCTATTGCGATCTGTGCGACCAAGTGGCTCTGAAAACTTTTGCAAGGCAATGTTTTTGGGGACCAGCGTGCCCAAGTGTCTGAAACAGGTTTAGTGTTTTATAATATTCAAGCACACCGATATTGTAGCCGGTTGCTACACTGATAAGCAATCTCTATGACAAGATCTCCTAGTTCTTAAAGGCTCTCAGGATTGGCTAAACTACCGCAAAGCTATAGAAGAAACAGACGTATCACGTGGAACATGCTTATTTGAGAAAGGAGTTGTAATGGAGAGTTTATTTTAAACTATTCATGGATTATTGATTGACGGTTGTCTGAGTGGTATCCGCCTTCACGACCGTGCTTGATCCCTTTAAGAAGTATCCCGGCCGCACCCCCAAGCCTGTCTGAGTGGGCATGGGATTCCTTTGTTCGGCGATGACAACGCTGTGTGCTCCAAAATATTTGCTGGGTGATATCATGCATCAGAGACATGTTGCTATGGCTAATATTTCCGAAAAGTTGTTCTAAGTTGAACCCTGTTTATCAATCTATTCTTGTTTATCCTTTTGATGTCCTTCAAATGATCCCATTTCTGAGAATTTGTATAGCGTTTTTAGGTGAAAATATAATCATGACTAGTTATTATTCTAATATTTCACTATTGCTTTCTACCCTCTATCATTGTATAAATTATTATTGAGCATAATTTTGAAACGAACTGCAGCAAGATCTCGCTATAGCAACGCGAACTTGTGATTACCCTTCTTCCGTTTTGGGTTCATACATTAATACATATTTGGGCAAAGTAATTATATCATGCTTGATAGTGTTTATTGGTGACTGGTGAAAGATTTGCAGTACTAACTATGATGATCCAACAGTAACTTTTTTCATATTTAATCGAAAACGCTTGAACTATACATCACCTGCCTCTGCTATACTCAGTTGAATGGAAAATTCTTAAACATGTAACACATATTTGGGAGTGAATAACTGACAAGTTACTTTGTTTCTTCATCAATTTGTTAAACATTTATTTCAAAACAACTAGATTTGTGTCAGGCTAATAAATGTTATTTCCGAAAAGCATTATCATTTCAGATTAAATCATAAATGCAAAATATACTAAATTCATTTCCCAACACGAAAAATCACAAAGTCCAAGTGAAACTTTTATACAATATTCTAAAAGGATTATACATCTAATGATATAATTATCAACCATAGTAATTAGTTATTACTTTAAAGGCGGTGTTCTCAAAGGGAAAATTCCGAAAATGAGCTCTATGTTTTGTAATACCCACAATCGCCACTGAAATTAAGGCGAATATGGAGGTAAAAGTAGCGCTCTCATTTCAAATAGTTTTACTTTGTGCGTTTCTATATTTAATACAATCGATTCAATAAATCGCTGCGTGAATATGAGGGCTTATAAATTAATTGCAATTTCGCAAAAAAGGTATCGTCTGTGTAGTTGACACTAAAGTATTCAGAAGATGGGACCACTTTTACCTTTTAAATTGCCACTTGTTTCATGGTAATGAATGATAGCTAGACTTATCTTACTTCAAAACCTATAACGCAGCTATCTCCTTCAAATCAAGCTAATGAATATGTACAGCATTTGCAATAAAGAAAGATTATTCGCTCTTTGGTAAATGGGAAGAACAGATTTAACAAATTATAAATGTTATCAGGGATGAGTATTCATAATCGTTTTCCCACACACTTCTATTAATACTAAAATAATTAATTGATGGAGTAGAATGAGGAGCTAATGGTCTAAGACAAAACGACTTTTGTTAAGACTATCTTTTTGCAAAATGGCTTGTTGTCAGTGCGCCTTCCTATCTGTCAGAACGCACAAATTCTCATTTTTTCTTCGCCAAAAGAACACAAATGGTTTGTGTACCTAATGCAAATTCAGGTCATAATTCCTACACTCTATTTGTGACTGTCAGACAGAAAAAGCGCAGATCAAAGGAAACTTCCGTTCGTCTCGATTTTCTATGCAATTATGTATTGTTCCTATTTATATGCTTTTACTTATGCGAGGAATACTCTTTTGTTACAAAGACCACATGACAATGTCTGCTGGTGTTTACAACTGTTCAAATTTCAAGATATGAAACGAGGTTCCACATTTTATTTTGCTTTGTTTTCATTGCAGGTAAATTTTTGGAGTAGATGAAAGGGTCCTTGATTAGTGAATAAATACTTATTAAAATTAAGTAACAGCATCTTAATTCAGCGCACTCGATGTTTGATCACAATTCGCGATCGAACTTGCGATAAGACAATCGAGCTTTCTCACAAACCTACTTGCCGCTCGTTTCTAGCTTGCCTATGCTGTGCCACTGATTAGTCGATTGGTTCATTTATTCGATCGATAATTAAAGCAAACTGGAAGATGGAGGAAACTATAGTTTATCTGTTTTCGCTAACTTTAGATACCAATCTACCCGATACTACAAGGAGCTATTATTTCATGACTTCCATCTCAATAATTTGACACTCCTGTATGCAATACCACTCACCTCTTTTAAGTCTAGAAGTTCATCTTAGTATAACAACGGTTGTAAATTCTGTGTAAATGAATAGACGCACGAACATTATTGGCCAAAAGCAATTGAACACACTCTAAAATGGCATTAGTAATTTAGTAACATAATAGTACTTCTACTGCTGGCGAGCCAATTAGCCATTTAACTCAACACTCCTAAGCCCATGAACTCACACACAAGCACACGAGGCACTTAAGTAATACCTGGAATTCGCACCAATTAGAAATCACTAAGAGAGGCTAGTATGTGAAGATATGTTGCATTTGTTTAAACAAGCTTGTACCTCGTGCGCGCAGCAACACATTGCACCATAAACAAGCCCATCAGGTCACAAAGTTGGTTGTTTGGCTCCCAATTTATTATTCTCTCTGTGATTTTTTGCTTTATTTAATAGAAAATAATAATGGAGCGTCGCAGACTCACATCAGAAAACCATGACAGACCCATGCCCCCGCCCCGCAATAACTGTGAGTGGTTATAATAATTTTTGTTTGTTCCATGACTTTTTGTGAACGTGTACTTGAAGTAGTTCTATGCGCCTCACTGTTTTTTAATGTAAAACTGTATTGAGGGGGTTTCATTTGTATCAATGGTAGCCTGGTGATAAGAGGGGAGTTTTTTACGTGTGATTTATAAGCCAATTCATTTTATAGGAGCAAGTAAAATAAAGAGAAGAACTAGTTAATTAATAAATTCTCTCGAAATATACGTAGTATTCTTGTGGACTGTAACCAATGGGGTGGGATTTAAAAATCAAAGTAAATCTATAACTATTCAAATCCACAAATATTTTGGCCTCTGACAGCTGGATGTAATGATCAAGAGTGTTCGATAACTAAGGAGTGTAAGTGCAGGGAAAGTGGAAGGGGTTACTAATTAGCGTCCTTAAAAGAGGGGCTAGGGAGGGACTGTAGGAATCCAGAGAGCCAATGTTACTATATTATAAGCCTAAGTGCTAAGAATACTCACTCATTATCTTATTACCAGTTTCAGTCTCCATTAACATGAGGAAAAGTAAGCTTTACGTCCGTCGAACAACACCATCTCCTCCTCCAAGACGTTCTAGATTATCATTCCAAGGCGGTGGATCGATAAGCTCGGAGGAGAACGTACATACACCATCTCCGCCTCCACCTTCTATTCCAGTCAGACAGATACCCCCTCTTATGCCTCGAAGAGCAGTAGATACTCGACAGACCGAGGGAAACAGACCATCTCTTAGATCTCAGAGGTCATTTTCCCCTTCAACTTTAAGGTCGGACGAAGATTTGCAGCGAGAAAAGGTAACTATTGATCATTCCCAGAGTTATTGACTTTAAAGACTTGACTCCGATTCTTAATATGTTACTTGGAATTCATGTTCGGTTAATGTTTGCTTTTCGTAAGTCAATGGCAGAGCAAACCACTTTCACATAGCTGTCAGAACTGAAATAACGAGATCGGTGCTCATTTGTGTACATTCAAAGATACAGCTGACTAGCAGCATTCGATAATTCGGGTTGAAAAGTGAAGACGGAAGGTGCTTTTCGCGTAAGTGACACTCTAGGGCGATTTCTTTTCATTAAAGTCAAATGGGTTTCTGTGTGATCCAGTAATTACTATTTAATTATTAAATATTAGTAAAAATATTCATAATTTTATTTGTCCTTACAAGCAAAGTAAAAAATTTGCTGTGTTAAAAACATTTGCTGCCACTAACTAACACGAAAGCCTTACTGGAGTAAGTCTAACCGCCTAGGAATCTATTCCAAGAAAAAGTGTCGATAAACGTGCTGGGGGTGGGGGAGGGGGTGGGGTTTAGAAGTGATACCCAAGGAAAGGAAATTGAAGCGTCTTGTGATGTAATCACCAGTTACCATGTGACTTCTGAGTCACTTTTAATTCTAATTGCCAAAGGTAGGCAAATGCTCCCCTTTGAATAGTGAATTAAATTTTTAATACGAGATATTTGGTTAATTTACTGATTCATATACGATTTTACCTAAAATCACTAAAATAGTGTCTAGTCTTAATATATAAACACATTTACCCCTATTAAAAGTTTATAAACCATAAGCTAGTTTAATGCAATTAATTAATTAATTTCAAATGCCAGGCGTTTTGAGAGTTATCATTAGCCCTTTAGCTGATTTCGGGCTTCACAGGGGGAAGGAACATCAAAGTAACAGAAAGTCGAGAGATGGGGAACAGAAGAGTGGTTTACAATTGTAAAAGAGACAGACACAAAGACAGAGAAAAGGTGAGATGAGTACTGTGAAAGGGGTCGAATATAACATAGAGTGGGGTCATGGTAGTTTGAAGTCAGAAGTCAACTGCCGGTTAATAGACCTTTTTTGCCGTATGAGTATACGTTGCCCAGGGTGCACCACGTGGAGGTAAGTCTATCGCACACCCCTAATGCAATTTATATTGATAGATAAATAAATTTGGAGGGAAAATGAAAAATAGCATTATAGTTATTCAAATGCACTTCTTAAATGCTCGTAGTTGAGGAAGAAGTTTCTCTGGTGCTATATTATTGTCCAACCACCTAGTCTATATTCAAGTTATATAGAAATTGTGCAATTTCTGAAGAGAGACAGTCGATTCAATATCCCCACCATTCACTCACTGGCTTGGGACCACAGAAGCCAAAGAAAAGCCTGTATAACAATACGAGAGACGACATAGGTGTATATCAGTGACCTATTAGACATTGCGGTTTAGGATTTATCTGAGATAATTAGCAAAACGCAACCGTTTGGTAAACATGTACACAATCCATTTTGAAAATCGCAAAATTTTGGTCTAACCGAGAAGAAATCGTCCTGTAAAAGACACGTTTATTAATTTTTTATCGCTTCTTGGTATATCCTGGATATCACGATTTTAATTAATTATGAGGAAGTTGTTCTGGTATGTATCGGCACGATTGTATCGGTACTTTCATGTTAAGTGCAGGTTCTCTAAATGAATTGGTTTTAACATGAACGAAACAATGTCCTTTTCCAGTGCTTACTGAAGAGCCAAATTAAACCTCAATTTCGGCATCACTATTCCACTTTCTTCTACTTCTAACCAAGTTTTAACATCGAAAGTGAGTTTCCCCATGCCAAATATTGGTATCTTGAGTAAGAATAGGAATAAAATTGATTTAAATATCGAGACAATGAATTAAAGGAATTAATCACTAATTTAAGTATATGGCACAAATAGCACTACAGTTAAGAAATCCACTGAAGAGTTCGTATTTCATTTATTTATAACAGAGCAAAGTAGACAAGAATAGAATAGGAATCACAAAATGGCTTTTGTAAATAAAAATTGATACAAATACCAACGCACCTGCATTCGATAGGAACACATTCAGGATAATATGAGAATTTAAGAAATTGATTCACACATGATCAAACGACAGTGCGTCCATTTGCACCATGGTAAATGGAAAATTGATCCCAAATTAGAACAGTGAATGAGACCAAGTTATGATAGAAGTTTCGGTTGAACCTGGCTTTAAATTTTTGCTGAAAAGAAATTGATATTTTTAAACGAATGTTTGATTTACAAACGCCTAGTCGAGAAGTATCACTATAAAGTTAGCTTTTTATCCACTTAAAGTCCAAAGTCTGGCGAGCAGAGGATACGAAGCTTCCCACTCTTCAGCGTCAGAAAACTAGAGTATCCATTAGATATATGGCAGGAGACTCCGAGGATGAAATTTCAACGGACTCCTCCTGTGAAGACCTCCCTGTCCCACATCTCCGAGGTCATACCGCTTCTCCATACACCGCCTTTCCCAATTCCATGCCTGCTGGTGCTCCTACACAGTTAAATCAACGACCTGGTCAGCCTGTTTCGCCTCCAGCTGCCACGATATCCAATCGACAACAGCATAGATATTTGAAGAATGGGAAAGGACAGGCGGGAGCTTATTCTAAAGTGGGTGAAAATTTTCGGAACCTCTTTGTAAAATGAAGGTTGTAAAGGGCTTCGTTTCGCCACAGGTCCCATCGGAAGGAAAGGTTGGGTTCGAGAGGATAGAAAGTTAAAATGTAACCACTCCCAATGATTAATGCAGAATTTTCTATAAGCTCACTATCAATGGCCTTTATAATTTTTACCACCACCTGCCGAAATCGGACTTTCTTCAATTTAGTCGCTAATTAATATTAAGCATGTATTGTAATTGGCATTATGTATCGAATAGTTATTTACAAATATGTGTACCTAAAGAAGCCTGCGTTTCATATAATGAAATGGTTCAAAGTCCACAATTTGGAGATTCAGAGTTCAAGTGGGGCAGTTTTAGAGATCAGTCTTCATTAAAAAAGGGAGTGCAGTAAGTGACATGATTAGGCCATAAGAACTTAGGCAAGCAGACGTTATTTTATGGATTTGAGTTTATATTCTGATGAGGTTTGAACCTAATTTTTAGTGGCATTAAAGCATATCCATAATACTATTTTGGCTCGATAGTTCAAACCTCTGGCAGTTTTGGATTTGAGTGATAAATGCAATTCATATAAAAATGTATTTTTCATAACATCACACACTGGAGTGTTCAGTTCCGTCGTTAGTCAATCGGAACATTAAACCCATTTTAGTAGGTGTCAACTTTCTTCGGACATAAGGCATTTCACACTGCTTGTCCAAATCCAAACTGCCTCTAAGAATTCCAGAAACTTTATAATCACATGCATTTGTATGAGCTGAATTATCCAGCTAGGAAATCATGGATCTACAGGCAATATATAGGGGTATTATAAGTAGAGTATGATTTTTTCTAACCTCAAGCCTTAGCTCACCTTTGGCGATGAAATAAGCACCGCTATATGCTGATATAAGTTTATGCAGCTCAGACATGTTTAATTGCGCCCTCTCATTCATGCAACTTGCTGTGAGGTTGATTGAAAATCACGAGACAAATAATTGCCGACAGGAAATGTTTATGCCACTCTGCTAATTAGATGCAGAAAAGTCACTTAAAATGAGATTTTTCAACTGATTTCCTCTTAACCTATACCTATTAGCTGGGAACGTGACTGCTTTTGTTTTGTACATGTATCCAATAGGTAATAAGGACATACATAAACAACTATACTTAGGTTTTCTCTTGTATATTGTTGGAGTTGCTTAGCCATTGACTAGAAGATGAAGTAGGGTGGAATGGCACCTAAAGGATGAGTCACCTGTTGGCATGTAAAAAGATGTAACTTTGTACAGACTCATAAAGGGAGAATGGGTGTGGTTCCAAGGCCAGCGGCCGGTTTGTTTGGGCCTGGAATTCATTTGCACACATTCATTAACCACCAAGACTATTCATAGTAAATTTGATGGGTTAGG